GTCATTTAAACAGACGGCCAAAACAAAGAATACATACTGCTGCACTATAGGGTCAATTATACAGACTGTCATAACAATGTATACATAATGCTGCATCATAGGGTCATTTATACAGACTATCATAACAAAGTATTCATTCTGCTCCACTATAGGGTCAATTATACAACTATCATAATAAAGTAAACATGCTGCTCCACTATAGGGTCATTTATACAGGCTGTCATAACAAAGTATACATACTGCTTCCTTTAGGGTCATTTATACAGACTGCCATAACAAAGTATACATACTGTTGCACTATAGGGTCATTATACAGACTGTCATCACAAAGTATACATACTGCTGCACTATAGGGTCTTTTATACATACTATCATAACAAAGTATACATACTGCTGCACCATAGGATTATTTATACAGACTGTCATAACAAAGTATACATTCTGCTGCACTATAGGGTCATTTATATAGTTTGTCATAGCAAAGTATACATGCTGCTGCCTTTAGGGTCATTTATACAGACAGACATAACAAATTATACATACTGCTGAACCATAGGGTTATTTATACAGACTGTCATAAAAAAGTATTCATACTGCTGCACCATAGGGTTATTTATACAGACTGTCATAACAAAGAATACATACTGCTGCCTTTAGGGTCATTTATACAGACTGTCATAACAAAGTATTCATACTGCTGCACCATAGGGTCATTTATACAGACGGCCAAAACAAAGTATATATACAGACTGTCATAACAAAATCTACATACTGCTGCCATTAGGGTCATTTATAAAGACTGTCATAACAAATTATACATACTGCTGCACCATAGGGTCGTTTATACAAACGGCCAAAACAAAGTATATATACAGACTGTCATAACAAAATCTACATACTGCTGCCATTAGGGTCATTTATAAAGACTGTCATAACAAAGTATACATACTGCTGCATCATAGGGTCGTTTATACAGACTGTCATAACAAATAATACATACTGCTACACCATAGGTTCATTGATACAGACTGTCATAACAAAGTAAATATACTGCTAAACCATAGGGTCATGTATACAGACTGTCATAGCAAAGTATACATACTGTTGCACTATAGGGTCATTATACAGATTGTCATCACAAAGTATACATACTGCTGCACCATAGGGTCATTTATACAGACTGTCATAACAAAGTATACATACTGCTGCACCATAGGGTCATTTATACCGACTATCATTGCAAAGTATACATACTGCTACTCCATAGGGTCGTAACAAAGTATACATATTGCTTCTGTAACGCGTGACGAGCGTCGGTAGAGATAATTAGAAATGAACAAAACAAACTGGTCAATTACACAAATACGAACAATGTTTCTACAATTAACACAAACACATTTCACTAAACATTTCTATCATCTCTCCAGCATCCACTCTTTCACATACCTACATTTACATATTTTCACACATTGATTTCCTTACAAAAGTTCACAATTCAAAATAAGCCGGTTAATTGCATGATATCAGTTAATGTTCCTTGTTTGAATAATATGACAGTTCCTGTGCTGTCTGCTCCTGTCTACTGAATGACACAATGGACCAATAGTCCTCTTCTGGGTGACAACAGTCTCAGTATGTTTGATACCGCTGACCAACCGTAGCCTTTACTGACGGTGGAAATCTATGATACGCGCTATGCCCTTCTCTCGAACCCTAGTGTCCACTAGGAGTTCACTATCTGTACAGCTCTGGCTGACCTCTTGAGTGACCATGACCTGCCAGCTGTGGATGACCTGTGGCTGACCTTGACTCTTTGCATGGGAGGGTCCTGATTCCCCGTTCACTGGTATCCACTGCAATGACCAAATGTGGTCGTAATCCTCCTCAGGAAAGCTTAAACAATACCCAAAACAGCCATTACAATCTTGCATACTTCACCATTCAAGCAATTTGTTTCACACAAAATATTTACAAGACAATTATATAATAACACAATCATATTCGTCAATCTTAACACTGAAGTGAGACACTATGATATACAGTAATGAAAACAGTTAAGTGATATACTATAATAACTATTATTACAATGCAACCTTATTCCTGTCCAGCGACACATAGTACTAAGTACACAGTCGAGTATGGCAACACGCCGCTTCCATACTTTTTACAATCTATCGAGACCTCACCTATACATAACGGTTTATGACTATTCCAATACATATCATCAACATTACAACATTATTGCATTCGTCCATAACTATGCATTGACATATATATACTTATAAATTAATAGAGTATTTCTAAAAACATATATTCATACAATTTAGCCTACATGCACGTGTTGTACTGTGGTATTCGCTCACTACCCTAGCGTCACGCATGACCGGACTGCACTATCCTATACGGCTCAATAGATGTTAACCGGCCTACTGATGTAGGCCGCTGTGAGTACTAAAACCCACGACAGGTGGCTATGGCGCGTCCACAATGTTTACCTGTGTCCTGAGCTCGTGCACTTCCGCTCCCTACCTATTTACTTACCGTAACGGCCGTCAACTGACCACGTGATTCGTAATAACAATAACACTAGACATTCACACATATATATATACATACGATCAACATAAACACCACGAGACAATACATGCGATCGTGACAAATCCCCCCATTCTGGAAAAATGTGGTCACACTTTTTCTTTACACCACGGAGCATGTATCTTCTATATCCTACTCAAATTGTCCGCTCCCACGTTGTCGACTGCTTTGATTGCCTGAATTCTAAATATTTAGGGTTGCAATAGCAACGCCCACCTCATTAGTCTTGCGTTTGCTGTTTTTGATCTATGAATATATGTCAGTGGCTGGTGATCCGTTTCCAGAACGAGTTCCCGTCCGTAGATGTACACTTCATACTTCTGAATTCCCCAGTAGATTCCCAAACATTCCTTCTCGATGATGGTCTAATTCTTTTGGCGGAGTAGAAGTTTTCTGCTTGCATACGCTACATGCATCTTTATTCCATCCTCCACCTGCAACAAAGCCGCACCAAGACCTGTGTCCGATGCGTCCGTGCGAATGATGAATTCTTGGTTTAAATCCGAAAACTTTTAAACAGGCTCTGCAATCAGCATTTTCTTCAGGGTGGTATATGCCCGCTCATGGCTGTCTTCCCACTGCACATGATTAGCACTACCCTTCTTGGTAAGGTCTGTGAGAGGAACAGCGATCGCTGCAAAGTTCGGAATGAACCTGCGATAAAAGCCTGCAAGTTGTCCCAAGAAAGATCTTACTTGCTGCTTTGTCGTCGGTTTGGGTGCTTGACGGATCGCCTTTACCTTTGCCTGGTCCATCTGCAGACGCTTCGATCCTACAACATGTCCTAAGCACGGTAAACTCCCAAATCCGAAGGAACATTTGCTGGGCTTAACAGTGAGAGCTGCCTTCTGTAGCCGTGAGAACAATTATCGAAGCACTTCCATGTGTTCCTCCAATGAATTGGTATAGATAAGAATATCATCAATGAAGTTATCAAACTTCTCCATACCAACCAACAGCTTCCTCATCAATCTGCTGAAAGTTGCCGGTGCATTAACCAATCCAAAGGGCATGACCCGAAATTGGAAAAGTCCTAGTGGGGTTGCAAAAGCAGTCATCTCCTTAGCGTTTGCTTATAACTTGCCAATAACCCTTGCTGACGTCCAGCTTCGTGCAGTACTCTCATCCGCGTTTGGCATTGGTTCAGCATCGAAGATTGTCACGCGATTCAATCCACGAAAACCGATGCAGAATCGATTACTCCCATCTTTCTTCTTCATCATCACACAGGTGCCGAATATGGGGATGTCGACGGTTCGATGACTTCCATATGGAGCATGTTCTTTACTTCCTCTTTGATAACCTCCTTCGTATTATACGGTAATGGGTACGACTTTATCCGTACTGGGTCATTCGTTGTAGTGTGAATATCATGTTCCGCCAGGTTCGTCCTTCCTGGTTGGTCTGTAAACACATCTTCATACTTCTCCATGATATCCCTGACATCGTGTTACTGATCCTCTGAAAGTTCCTCCGATATCTCCACATTCTGAAAATCTTCGCTTCCCACTCTTCTTGGCATTTCTTCCAATTCTTTGCCTGTATCTGTCTCAATTTCCTGATCACTATCGTGGATCACTGTCGTCATCACACACGAGAGGATTACTCCAACATCATGCGTTGCTTTGTCTTTAGCATCCACGTATTTCTTCAACAAATTTAAGTGAAGAGTTTTTATCTTCCCGTCTCTATTTACACGATAATCTGTCGGCCCAACGTTCTCTGTCACCTCATACGGTCTTCGCCACTGCATCAGCAACTTATTAGCCTTAATAGGCAGCAACACTAACACCTTATCTCCCGCCTTCAGTTCCTTGACTTAACTCGCCGATTGAAATGCTTCCGCTGTTTTCCCTTAGCTGCACGCAACTGTTCCATAGCCATCCCACACGTCTCCTCGATTCTTTCCCTCGGGTCCATCACATACTGGTATGTGGTCTTCACCTCGTCATCAGGTAACTCGTTCGTCCACAATTCCCTCAATATCATCATGGGTCCTCTTACTGCCCTGCCGTAAATCATCTCAAAGGGGGAAAACCCCAGGCTCTCTTGTGGAACTTCGCGGTAAGGAAAGAGAAGTGCGTTGATGAACTTATCCCAGTCGCTAGGTCTTTCAGCGCTCATTTTCCTCAACATCTGTTTGAGCATTCCATTGAATCTCCCAACGAGCCCATTACACATTGGGTGATATGGCGTTGTTGTCAACTGCCGTATTGAAAGTAGTCCACTGACCTCTTTCATCATGTCGGATGTAAACTGGGCCCCTTGGTCCGTAAGCATTTCAGAAGTCACTTCGACCCTACTGAAAATGTCCACGAGGGCTTCAGCAACTCCATCCGTCTCGATAACTCGCAATGGTACTGCCTCTGGATAGCGCATGGCATAGTCTACCACCGTGAGAATGTACCTATTTCCACGATCTAACGGGTTGAAGTGATCCGATCAAGTCCTCAGCTATTCTCTTGAATGGCGTATCAATTATTGGCATGATTCCCAATGGAGCTTTCGGAACTCGTCCGTTTTGGAGGGTCCTTTGACATATGTCACAGGATCTAAAGAAACGAACGACGTCTGCCTGTACTCCCGGCCAAAAGAACTCGGCAAGAACACGACTAGCTGTCCTCTTCGCTGCGTGATGGCCGGCCATGACTGACGCGTGTGCCAATTTCATAACAACCTGTCGGTAATTCTCCGGTACCACCAGCTGCCGAAATGCCCTCCCGTTAGCAACTCGTTAACTCTGAAAATTCCTATACATCAGCCCGCTGTGGTAATAAATAGTTGACGTCTCACCATCATCTCGCTCGTAGGTCTCTTCTGTTTGTGCCAATTTCCTAAATTTTGCAAGTGACTCGTCTGTTCCTTGCTCTTTTTTCAAATCCGCGTGACTGCCAACGTCCTTTACAGCAGCCTCAGGAACAGTAAGAGGTATATAACCCTGTGCTCTTCTATGCAGTTGTGCTCTCGTCTCCACAGCATGCATCGTAGCTTCTTTTGTTGCAACTTAACATCGGGTTGATCAGTGGTAGGGCACCTTCCACATTTCCTATGATTAGATCATACAGTGGCGTATCCAGGACCCATGCATCTGTACTTCCTCAAAAATATGGCGTATCTACATCTAGTTCCGCAATAGGAACACGCTACCGCGACCTGTCAGCTAATGTACAAATCTGGGTTCGATCTGTTATCTTGCCTGAGTCAACCAGTTCTTTTTTAATGACAACTCAACTGCAACCGGAGTTCCTCAGAACGGATACTATTTTTTCCCCACACAACCTCTAACAACAGGCATATCAGTAGATCCGGGAACCTTGACATTGCACGACATACTCAGTTAATGTAATTCTGTGTCCACTTGTCGATCCTGTCAATAATATATGATACACTTGTGAAACTTAAAAAACATCGAGATAGGCGATATTTGTATGTAAGATTTATTCTGTTGGGACAGATATTTCACTTCGGGGTATCCGATTTTTCGAGATTTTAAAGTGTTTTATCAAGTTTTTAAAATTTCAAATTATCAGAGTTTGTATTATTATAATTAGGAAGACTTTTGGCCGGGGCCAATGAAATACTTCGATTTAAACGTAACGGAGTCATCGAGTGATAAGAGTTCCGAGATAACGAAGTTCGATTTTAAATAAACTATCAATATTACAATAATATCTTTGAATTGACACTCTTACGAACAATGTCCGTATTAGGCGACATGTACATTAAGACAGTATATACATAAGAATAGTATCTCTGTTTTAAACGAAAGCTTAGAAGGTCCACTTTGAACAGTAAATAAAATTATAAAAAAATGCATAAATACTCATTTTGAAAACGGAAGGCTTTATTTCGCGAATGAAAGTTGTAATAATGCGTTTTTGAAATCATAATAATATTTTCAACGACGTTTTAACGACAAAATAGCCGTAGTAATAAATTTAACGCTTTTTAGGTAATACCTTTCCGTATTGATTTAAAAAAAAAAATGTCAAATGAACAATAACTGCTCATTGTGAATTTCCGGATATGTCCTCTAATTTATGCTCACGGAGGTAAAAGCTATTGACAGCCAGCAAAGATCAAACGTGCCAGGTGTTACATATCTAGTAATATATTAAAATTAAAATCGTTTAGTTCAAACTGTAGTTCATATCTTATTTCCAATCTTATCAGTTTCAAATTAGGTGAAACCCGAGGCAAGGGTTTGCCCAAATTTTAAAAGGCTTCCAAGTTGTCGCATTTCGGCAACAAAATGTTGCCGATTTCGTGACGTCACGCACGTGGTATAGGGTGTTAGATAGAAATATCCGATGATTGTTTCTTGTACTTGACAGTGCTGTCGTCTACACTCTAGAATGAGAGAAAATTATTTCTTTCTCACAGCAACCAGAGTTGCTTCACTTTTAATAGACATAATTCAAAACAGTAAGGGTATTTTGTTTTAAATCTGCTTTAAGGTAGGTCTACAGATAAAACAAATTAATTTTAAAGTTCAAACACATACATGTCGTTAATCTGTTTATGTAGGGAGGGAGATGGGAAAGGAGAGAAGAAGGAAAGGGAGGAGGAAAGAAGGGAAAACTCTATGTGAGTAGGATAATTGTATCTGTAATAAGAAATTCCGTTGCTCCGTTGTTGTTTTTTTTATCAAGTATGCATTTTTTACTATCTTTTTTCAAGGACAGTTTAGCAATATTAAGTGTAAAGTAATTCATGTGCGATTTACTTGCATTGAAACTTCTTGTGAGTCAGTACATATGGTAATTAGTCCATGGCTGTGGTTATTCCGGTTAAAAACCAATCCCTCCTTATACAATGAAAGATATCTGATTACAGAACCACCTGGTTTTTGTTTCAACATGAAAAATACCACTGATATTTATACTTATTTTATTGTTCCAACATTGATCGCTATTTTATTTATCTAACATCGTTCCGACACGGCCTCTCAAACCTTTACTTTCTAACGCAATTCAACAAACACCTTGAAACACGCTGGGTATATTATTTATCCGTAAGGCATTACGCTTTAGTTTGTTGCTTAGTGAGAAAAGAATCATAATGTCATGGTACCGGGTATGCCAATATTGTTTATAAGTAATGCATAGAATGTAAAGAATTATATCATAAGATATTTATATAAGGTAACAAAAATAAACAATTGTATAATAAATATTCATATGATAGACAACAACACAAAAGTCTATTCTGGTAGCTATTTTGCTTCGTTTTAATGTTCACGCTGATATGAAGATAATTTAGTTACGCACAATCAAGTTCTTTCTCGGGGCTTGCCAAGGTCGTATAGCTGTTGTTTTAGCAGTGCATGGTATCTATCGTGAAGTAGGTGCAAAAAAAGCTTTAGATAAATATTTGTGTCAACAGTCAAGTTATTGCAATAATTAATGTATCCTTATAATACATAGTTAAGCATCATTTTTAGTCGAAAGATGTTTATTTTTTAAGTTCAAATAGCATCAGAAGACGTATTTCAATTTTAAATATCGTTTTTGTATACGTTTTTGAAAAAATCGTGCGTGCGGGAACGTATTGTGTTTCAGACTGTAGGAATAAATGCAGAAAATAGAAATACTTGTATTCATTCAAATTTCAAAGACCACCATTAAATTTTAAAATGCTGACAACTAAATGTTCCGTTGTAGTACAAAGGATTTCAAAATTCAAGCTGTGATCCGTTTTGGGTACTGACATTGCAAAATAAAGGTAACGTTTATTGGTGACGTCAGTACTAGAGTGTTCTATATCACGTGAACCCTTAGAACACCAATCTATATTCCTCTGTTTATCCGCTGAATTTTCAATGAGTGTGGAAAATGAATCTAGGTCAAAACGGCCTTACTGTAAAAACGGCCCTAGTTGAAACGGACCCACTAATTGAATCGTGTTAAAATACATTTGATTGGATTTTAAATAAACTAGTATTTATTTCAAATCAGATAATTGTTACTTATGTTAAGTGAATATAATGTCCACATGTCCAAATCGACAGGATGGACTGTCAATACGATTGACATGGAAAACAATATGCTATCTAATAAGTTTTTTATTTACTTCTTTTCTCTAAATAATTAGTAAAGATATTTATAACTGTGTTTGTGTTTTCATTGATAGTTGACCCTTCTCAGTCTCAAATACCTTTTCAATGGCAGTGTTTTCTACTTCAGTGTTTAATTTACATGTACATTTCTTTATTTCTTGAAAGCGCATGTAACCTTATCACATAGTATCAAGTTATGTATTTGTATTACGCACTTGTAGTACTTGCAGTACTATACAGTATATACTATATATAGGGTGGGACCGTTTTTACTAGGGCCGTTACTGCAGTGGGGCCGTTTTAACCCGATACGGTAGAGAATGACGGTTTGGTGATCCATTTTGGATACTGTCACCTTACACGTTATTTCAATG